CAGATAAAATGAATAAACATTAAAAGAAATCAGTCTATATTTACTGAGTTAGAAACTTGCCAGCAGGCCTCGTGGCGCCTACTGCAGAACCACATCACATGTGGGCTTTGATTTGGCTTTAAGCTGAACATCTCTGACTTACTGCCTTTTAAGTTTTTTTTTTTTTGTTTTGTTTGTTTTGTTTTTGCCTAAATTTTATAGAAAAAAGTTGTAAAAAGTCAAAATGCCATTTTATTTGACCAATAATCGCAGCAGGAGCTGATCAGAAGCTGACCTTGCATTTCTTCATCTACCGTCCCATCCAGAGCCCTGTGCTGCAGTACCTGTACTTCCTGGCCCAGATCCCCATCGCCATGTCTCCTCTCAGCAACAACAGCCTGTTCCTGGAGTATGCCAAGAACCCCCTGCTGGAGTTCCACAAGAAAGGCCTGGTGGTGTCCCTGTCCACCGACGACCCCATGCAGTTTCACTACACCAAGGTCTGAGCGCATGGAGGGGACGCCTTTGATGATGCTGTAGACAATGGTGCATGCTGGGTGGCTTAGAATGGCCATTGTGTACATTTACACAAGTATGAATGTCAGTTTTGTGAAGTCAGAGGTTGGTTATGTAACGCACCCTCAAATAAACATGGAATACAATATGCATTGAATGAACAGCCACAGTAACCACACACAGCAGGTCCACACTCAGGGGTTTTATTATATAAATTACACATATATAACTTAAGTCTTTCTGTCCACAGGAGCCACTGATGGAAGAATACGCCATCGCAGCTCAGGTCTTTAAGCTCAGTACCTGTGACATGTGTGAGATCTCCAGGAACAGCGTTCTTCAGAGCGCCATGTCTAATGAGGTAACGCACACAGCAGCATGTTACACTGAAAAGCTTTGTGTCCGGTCATCTGACAGACCTACACAGCCTCTATCCCCAGATGATGCTTCACACAGAGGTGATGCTGTACTTCACATACCTGCATCAAAGCATGCTCTGGTCTTTGTTTCGTACTCCAGGAGAAAAGCCACTTCCTGGGTCAGGATTACCTGAAAGAGGGTCCAGAGGGCAACGACATCCGAAAGACCAACGTGGCCCAGATCCGTATGGCGTACCGCTTTGAGACCCTCTGCTATGAGCTGAACCTCATCAAGGAAGGCCTGAAGACTGGATAAACAGACGTGTCTTACACTTGGTCAGAAGTGATGTAGAAAGTTTTCACCTTTTGTTTTCCACAGTAACTCTTAAACTAGGAACCTTCTGATTCACTGATGTCTCCTGTAAAAGAAGAAACGTGTTTTCGCTGTTTGTCATCTGCACATCTTGTCAAAAGCACATGACAGTGTGTCTGTAGCACCTGGAGGAACGTCATGTATGAGAATGAAAAGAAATAAAGTGTGAAATATTAAGGATGTGTTGAGGGTTTTATTGACTCAACAGCAGGATCTTGTTGTGTTTATGTTGCCGTCAGACGTTTCCAGTCAGCTTGGCGCCTTGTTGCTTTTATGTCCTGCTCCAAAAGCACTCTTCTGTTTGTTCTTTAAGAAGTTTAGTCATTTTACTGTATCAGCAGAATGAAGAGGAAAATGTGCCCCAGTCATGTAAATTTAATGAAGTTATTAGTCTGAGTAGCTGCAGACTGGTTTTACCCACACTGACTGACCGTCTCCATGATGTCTTGTGTCAGCGTTGTAAAGTGTTCGCTGGTGCTTGGCCTTTAGTCTGAACATGTGCAGGACGTAGTCAGGACTTCTTGGTGTCTTCCTCTTTCAGTTTTAATAAACAAGTCAGTCTCACTGTGAGGAGCAGCAGGATGTGGAAACTACTGCTGTAACTCTCTGCATATGGGTTTAACACAGTCCAACAACTACAGTGAGCTCAGATCTGCCAGGTTCCTGACTGGTGCAAAGAAAAGATGCACATCACATCAGTTCTGGCTTAGTTGTATTAATAACCAATGAAACACAGAAATACAGAGTTTAAAATCTTACTGTTTGTTGTTAAAGGTCTCAGTATATTGCTGATGTGTTACCTTTGTCTTCTGCCTCTTATGAGCTTTTCCAGGTATTGATCCTCGGCACTGTGCCAGTCTCCACATTAAATCCTGTCCCGCCATTGTTGAGGTCAAATCTGAATTAAAATCCTTACCTTTTTTCTCCCCATTGTTTTTAGTTCTCCCTGAAGCTGCTGATTGTGGTCACTCCTTCTGTTTCACTCCTCTGCTCATAAAGTCCCACCTGTTATGTTTTATCTCCGCTGTCATGCTCATACGTTTGTCTTCATGTGTGTTTAAACATCACAGTTTGCTGTGATTCCTGTCATTCCCTCTGTGCATTAATGTGCATGACTGTGTCTTTTCTCTTTTACAGCTCGTGCTTTGTCCTCTCTCCGTCTCTGTACATCTCTGCAGGTTGTGTTTGAGTTTGCACATGTCTGATCTGCAGGTACTGGTCCCACCAACCTGTTCAGTGTTTCCTGTTTGTGTGCACTTTTCCTTTTCCTCATCCTTTTACCCTCAACCCAGCTGGTCCAGGCAGACAGGCGTCCTCTCTCAGTCTGGTTCTGCTGGAGGTCTTGTCTCCTCCACTGTCACCAGGAAGGTACAAGAACAAAATCTTTGTTGGGTTTTCTATGTATATTTATGTCAGGTTGTAACTTTAACTTCTAAATTAGTCATTAATCTCTGAGTATATAATGTTTTGGGCTCTTTGGCATATAAGTTAGTCAGGCTAATTTGTAATTTATATAGAATTGTAGGGTTTTACTATAATATTTAAATTATTCCATTAAATTCACATAATAAACAATAGGTTTAAACCTTAAAAGCTGATAGGTAAATTTCTCTTTCTTCTGCTGGACGCTGTTGTTTCACATGTGCAGTATTAAACTTTATGACAGTGTATAGATGTAGATCTGTAAATAACACGACTGTTCTATGGTTCTAATTTAAGTTTAACCATGATTCTTTGCAATATTACAGCTATTTTTTTTATTTCTAGTTACTTTATTTTACTGTATATTTATTGTTTTCGCTATACTGGTTGTTGTTTTGCTGCACCAACCCACCAGAACAAACTCCTCCTATTGTGTCAACTATACCTGGCAATAAATCTGGTTCTGATTCTGATAATGAATGGACGGATGGATTTACGGTACCAACTCTGGCAAAGTCTACATTTTTCGAACTTAATTGACCTGAATTCAAATTCAGCTGCGATTCATACATGAAGATCAAGTCTGAGATGTTTTTGGAAATCACGTCTAAAGTTAAAAAAGAAAAAAAAAGAAAAGAAAACTTGGCAGAAATGTTTCCACACGCATCACGCACAGCCAGAGGACGTGTTAAATTAAAGTTCCGTCATGTTCACTGACCTGCGGGCTCAAACAGGTGCGGTGTCCATATTTCCCAGCCCCCCTGAAGACAGCAGCGCTCCTTGAGTTGACAGCTGCAGGAGCTGATGTGATGACGTCTTCCTTCTTCACGAATTCAAGCAAACTTTCTCACAGAAAGACGTTGCGTCAAGCTGGACACACACACCCGGACGGAAACCGGAACACCGCGAAATTACACAATAAACTGCTGCAGGTCACAGATACCGGAGCTTTTCCGTTGCTTAGGCCTAAATAAAATAATAACAACAAACGCTAACCTGTTGAATATTATCTTATATTATCTTCTTCCTTACCCTCTCCTCTTTCAGTAATACAGGTCTCATATTGTAATCCTTTTTAACAAAATGATGTCAGCAGCCTCGTGTGTGTTCCAGGTTTCAGCTCAAACTATTGCATAGATCATTTATAGGTTTATTGCTCCTGATCTTAGTCTAAACAGGTGGTTTTAGTGTCTGAAGCTCTGAAAGCATTGAGCTGCTGCTGTCCAGGACCCTGTCAGGAGAATGAAGAACAATGAGGATGGTGTTATCTCTGATGTTGTGGCTTTATTAAAAAAGAAAAGAAAAAGAAAAAAAAAAGAGAGGAAAGTGAGCTTTTGCAAGATTGAATTTCCCTTCTGGGATAAATAAAGTATTTTTCATTTCATTTCATTTCATTCATTTCATTTCATTTCATTTATAGCCACAAAGGGGTCACAAAATTATGCTCAATAACAAAGACAGTCTGGGTTTTGTAGAACCTGATGATGTGTTTTCAGAATCCCATTTACTTCAGGAAACTACAAACCCCATCTGGGCAGCAGCCTGCACACTGACAAGGTCTCACCAAAGCTTTGGATCATGAAGTAAAGTGGAGTTTTTTTATTTTCTTCTTTGTGAATCAACCATTTAAATGACAGCGTTCACCTCCATACATGCAGATGTTTCACCCAAGCTGCTTTGAGGGCATGATGCTGCTGTCACCCTCTGGTGACTAGTAGAGTAAAAAAAAAAAAAAGAAAAGCAACCAGCAGAGCATCTCCCCCATAGAATATACACACATATATATTTATTTATTTATGTTCTTCGTTTACATATATACATATTTTAATATATATTCGATACACCTTTATATTTTATATACTCAACTATATTTATCTATAACTGCACTGATTGTTATCATATTATTTAGCATATTATTATTATTATTATTATTATTATTTATTTTTTTATTTTTTTATTACTATTATTACACCGTTCTGCTGTTCTTCCTAACAGTTTGTTTCCTTTGTTTTCTTGTCTACTGCTTTTTTTCTAAACTGATGTGTGCTGCTGTCTCTGTCGGTGTTGTTTCTAGAACAACACTTTCCCTGAGGTACCCCACCAAAGGGATCAATAAAGTTCTATCTAGTCTAATCTAAATCTAAGAATGATGACGAGGTGCAAAGAATGATCTGGCCGAGTAGTACAAAAAAGGCTAATAAACAACACATCTGCAGTTTTTTTTTTAAACTATGTGTGAACACAACACTCAAGCATAAAGTGATGATACATTTGACTGTCGGTTTTATTTTGGAGGTCACAAGCGGAAGTCGCGCTATTCCTGCGCGGCTTGACGCTCGTGTCCAGAGGAGGAGGAGGAGGAAGGCGAGGAGTGTTCTGCTGCTTTTTCTCCGCTTTCTTTGTTGTTGTTGCTCCAGTTTATTAAAAGCAGCGACACGTTTTTTCATCTTTGCTGGCGGTTTCTGTCCCGATCAGGTCTCCATAAGGGGGTCCGGGGATCCACACCGACTGTTGCTGAGCCCGCTGAGCTGGACGATGTGTGGACTCCGGATTTATCTGGGTTCTTCATTTCATCGGAAGCAGAACGAGGGAAGAACATGAGTTGTGTTGTCCACGTTCCGCTCCGGGGGTGAGTACACGACACATGCAGCCGTTGTCTTCATGTAGCACCCAGCTGGACTGGGCTGGACTAGGCTGAGTGGAGCCGGACTGGGCTGAGTGGAGCCGGACTGGGCTGAGTGGAGCCGGACTGGGTCATCAGTAGTCTGGTTATGGCTGCAAATGTGCAGCTCAGACTCACCACACCAACAGCTGTGGGAGAGAAAAGTTAAACTCTATTATTGACAACTTTGATCAACTTTTAATAAGCATCCAAACTTTTTCTGCACCAGAACATCCTTTTTGTCCAACCTGCTGCTTCCAGCTGAATAAACACTTATTGATGTGTTGTCAGAGGACCTGTAGAGTCCAGTCCTGATCACATCGTGTCCCAGTTTTCTAGTCGTCATGATGGTCTGAACGTGACTCAGCAGGAGCAGACGTGAAGCCTCAGCAGGTCCTGGTCCATGGATGGATCCACTGCAGCCAAATGTAGGAAAACAGCTGAGTCATGAGTAACTGAAGACAGCAGAAGGTGTCTTCAGTGGATTAATACAGTCAGAATCAGACTGAGTTCAGGAGAGAATTTGGCTCCAGTGATGATCACAACCAGTTCATCCATTTAGAACCAAAACTGCAGTCAGCAAATTGCAAAGATCAGCATTTAGGATCCACAAGATGTGGTTGTTAGATGTGCAGCTGTTCCTCTACATGACCTGAACATCTACACGGTTCAGTATGAATTATGATAATTACCACCGTATTTCTCTTCAGACAGTCATAATGCATGTTAAGCTGTTAGACTTTTGCACTTTGCACTTCTGCTTCTCTGCTGAACAGCATTTCAGTGTCTTCGTACTTTGTACTTTGTTCAATGACAATAATCAGAATCAGAAGCTTTTTATTGCCACATGAGCACGTACACAAGGAATCAGGCGTGGTGAATGAAACTGGTTCACAACAAGACAGGAGTGAATAGAAATCAATTACATCACATCTACTCTGAGACTACTGCTGTAGTTCAGTTGTCTTTATTTGACATGTTAAGGTTTGTTTCTGCTGATCAGTCCATACGATGTGGTTTGTCTGACATGAGCCTCGTTACTTCAGCAGCCACACCTGCTGCATGTTGCAGGATGTCTGACGGATTTGACAAATCCATGATGTTCTGTTTGAGTGAGAGTCCTGCTGTCCATGTGCTGATGCTCCACCACGACACTGTGAACACTGAACTGAACCTATGACAGACCAAACTGTGATATCTTTCAGTAAAAAATCCTGATTCAGTTTACACCAAAAGCCCTCATTTACAGCCATCAGCAGGCGACACAACATGACGGGACTCCTGGTTTTGAAGTGGTCCACTGGAGCTGTCAGAGTAACTGATGCTGCTCTGGGGGCTGCTGATGGATCCGTCGTTTTGAGGCACTCCGTCTTGGCTGTCGTGCAGCAAACCAGCATTTTTCTTTTATTACGGCATTAACTGTCAACTGTTGATGACAAACCACGGTCGTGCAGCACCTCACCCACAACGTGTTGTGTCATGCTGCAGGTCTCTGGGAAGGCGTGTCGCGGTGGTTTTAAAGGTGCAATTAGGTTTAATTTAGCTGCCAAGTGATGACGGGGTACTTGAGCTTTATGTGTCCCCCGTCTGGTTTCCATGTGGATGACTCACTCAAAAACACGAGGAGTTCCTTTCCGAGAAGTTGACGGCCTCAGAAACATCAGTAAAGTTTATTGTGACTTTCCCTTAATGCCACAGCACTCCACAGTTTGCACAGATACCAACATCTGATCCGTGTGCCTGTTTGTCACTGTGACCAGCCGGTGGCGGATGTATTTCTAGAGTTACTGTATTTCAGACACAATGCTTGATTACCATCAGAGGGTTTGAATATAGCCGATCTAAACTTAGCTCAAATCAGCAGTTGCTCGCAACTTGGTGCAAATCGCTCTGCACCATAATTATGGACAGTCTGCTGATCCTTCTTCCTGCCGCTCAGGAAACACAACTCATGCCTTCCTGTACGACATACCGCACATGGACAAGTAACGCAAGTGGGTCAGTTTAGGAGTGGCATCGTCACTGCGTGGTCTGGCGGTGACGGCGCAGCGTTCCCCCCGCACGCATACGTTTGATTTGGGTCAAAGCAAACAAAGGCATCACTTGGACTGTCTCTGGTTGGATCTATGTCCCGACCCGACCCCCTCCTCTGCAGGAATGCGGCTCATGGAGTTATTATAACCATGAGCTGTGCTGTGGAATTTTACCGTGTCTCCCCTTCTCCACATTCACTGCGCCTCGGTCCTCGTGTGCAACGTGTCCAAACGGGTTGGTTCCAGTGAGACCGGAGCCGCTAGATGTTGACTCAGGAGTCAGGGCCGCCGCAGAGCAAACTTTACATGAAGCCTGCCAGTGTTTGATAGCAACTGATGTCACATTTCAGTGTCTTACACAGTTATATCGTGCACACAGCAGAAAGTGCAGTTCCTCTCCAGAGTGTCAGTAAACAGCCGGCTCATGTGAGCACGCCTATCCCTCTGTGTACGGAGGTGTGGTTGAAACTCCTTCTGTCATCCAGTGTCACTGGCTCTGTATGTAATGCTCTGTTTTCTTGCCTTTAAAGCTTTTTGAAATGACCTAAAATGCTCATTCTTCCCACACATCTGACAGACAGCTTTGCAGGATCACCTAATAGGATGCAGTGCTTTGCTGTGTCTGCATTTCAGATGTGGCCAGCTGTGGGGTTCAGAGCTCCACAGAGTTCCTCAGAGGCCAGACGAGGCCTGGGCCAGTTCAACACACTGTTTGTGGTGACCTCGTTCCTGTCGTTTCTTATTCCTACAAGCTTTATTTCTGGAACCCAGACCTGACAGCAGTCCTCCTTCCTGACCTCTCTGTCCCGACCTGCACCTGGTAGAAAACTCTGGATGTGCTGCTTCGACGTCCTCTTGTGTTGCTTATGTGTCCTCTGCAGTGTTGTGTCTGTACTTGTTTGTTTTTTAAGTGATGAGTAACTTTAGCATCTTGTCTTCTTCTCAGGTTGTTTCCAACATGGAGAATGGAGGACAGGACCGGCTGCTAGCAGAAGAAGACTGAAGACATCGTGGGAGCAGCAGAAGAACCATTGGCGCTCTTGTTTTGGTGACAGCTTCTGGATTAATTATTACCAATTTTTTCTTTGCGAGGAAACCCGTGATGCATGATTCGCTCATGGAGAACTCCAGGTGAGCTGACCTCTCAACATGCTGGCTCTGAGAGTGGAGCAGAGCAGGCGGGGGGTCGGTGAGGCGGACCGCCTGCAGAAAGAGGCCGCCACGACCAGGCAGGGCTGGCAGCCGGGGAGGCCTCCGTCCCATCAGCAGGGTGTTAGCATCAGAGAGAAGATCTCCCAGTGGGAAGGTCGCAGCCAGCAGGGCAGCAGCCAGGACGCCGGGGCGAGAGCGCACCCTCCGACCATATCCCGAACTCTGTCTGGAGATCTCCTGGGCAGCAGATGTTCCAGCGAGGGCTCCAGAGGGGGGCTTCATGCTAAAGCCAGCCTTTCAAAAGCAAAGAGCTTGGGATTGGATTTCCGGGAATCTTCGGGACAAACTGGCCACGTTGTGATCGGCAGGAAATCAGAACCGCTGCAGAAACATTCCCCTCAGTTTTCAGCCTCATCCCAAGAACGAAATACACAAATATTTAAATCTGCCAAAGGGAAGGCCAACACCTCCATCTCTACAGGCAGACAGACTTTTACTGCCAACGGCGACCAAAAAATGGGTCGCATCGTGGATGTTGAAGTAGTTTTCAAACCTCTACCTCAGTCGGCTGATGAGCAGGAAGACAACATGCCTGCCGGGAATTTCTACACTTCACGGGGTTTCTGGCGGAAGCTGGAGGGGGACAGGCTGCTGTGGGAGAAAGGCATCGCGTCTTCAGGTGAAGCTCACCCTCCTCCTAAGCCTCAGCGGACGTTTCAGTATCGGGGAGTCAACAGCAGCAACAACACGGGGCCAGCCATGCGGTGGGACAGTCGCTCCATCGTGAGGGGCAGGAGGGTGGCTCACCCACCCAGCTTCCCGCCTCCTCCCTGTCCGGTTGCAAAGACTGAAGGACTTTCGAGGCATAAAAAGAACAGGTGGGTCAATGCACCAGAAGATAAAGCAGAAGTAACCCATCAGTACTTTTTAAAATGAAATGGGAGAGAATGTTTTTTTGATTTAAATTATGTTTTTTGCAGAGAACAGCTCGTGGTCGTAGATTACTGGGACGTACTACTTGCTTTTAACTTTGGCTCAAACACTTCTCCCTGTTTACTGAGCTGCAGACATGTTTTTAGAGCACGTTTGGGGAGGGCGCTGTCAGACTAACTGCTGGCTGGGGTCCTGGTGTGATGTCACATGATATCTGGCTGCATTGTTCCCTATTGTCTGGACGTGGCCTAGTTCTTCTGCATTATGGGTTCAGGGTCATCGTCAACACACAGCACGCACAGTTTGTCAAGACTAAGCAAACAGCCTAAAGTGTGTCATCCACGTACCCGCTGTCTAGCTGGTCTGCTCAGATACTCACAGTTTGTACTTACAGTTAAACTCACAAGCAGTGAAACAAATACTCGCTTTACGACACTTGGTTCTGGACTGGGCCATAGCTGAGGGTGTCTCACATTAGCAAACCTAAGATAGATGATACTGTGCAGTTTGCATTAGTGAGTGGGTTTGATAAATGATCTGCACTTATAGAGCGCTTTTCTACCTTAGTGCTACTCAAAGCGCTTTACAGTGTTTCTCATTCACCCATTCACACACACAGGGCGGCCGTGGCCAATCGCAAGCTTGGCGGTTCAGTCCCCTGCACAGTCCAAGTGGGCAAGAAGAACCTGAAGTTGCTCCCGATGGCAGGCAGCACCTTGCATGGCAGCTCTGTTGGTGTATGAAAGTGTGTGAATTAGAAACATATGGTGGCCCAGAAGTGTCACAACAAAACAAAAGGCACAACGCCACAAAATAAACCACAACACAACCCAACTACATTAACCAAAACACTACACAATTAGCTGCAACACAACACAACGGCTGCAACGGAAATTTATTTTTTTATTTTTTTACCCGGAAGTTATACTGTGAAGTGCACAACGCCACACGAAGTGGGCAGAAGCCGGAGATTGTTGGAAACAACTCGAGAAGTACGTAAAATACTGATGGCAAATAATGTTTAATACTTTCGGTATGTGCTATTACAGCTGTTGTTAACTTTAAATTATAAATAAAGAGTCATTGCATGTTCAACTTGCTAATGTGGACGCTATAGGTTGCAGCCCGTTTTTGATTAATGGACACCATCAGTATTTTACTTACTTCTCGAGTTGTTTCCAACAATCTCCAGCTTCTGCTCACTTCGTGTGGCGTTGAGCACTTCACAGTATAACTTCCGGGTAAAAAAAAAAAACAGCTTCCGTTGCAGCCGTTGTGTTGTGTTGCAGCTTATTTCGTGGTGTTGCGGCTAATTGTGTTGTGTTGTGATTAATTTTGTAGTGTTGTGGTTAATTGTGTTGTGTTGTGGCTTTTGTTTTGTTGTGACACTTCTGGGCCACCGTAGAAGCACATTGTAAAGCACTATATCAGTGCAGACCATTTACATTCACACACTAATGGTGACAGAGCTGCCATTGGGAGCAGCTTCGGGTTCAGTGTCTTGCCCAAGGACACTTCGACTGTGGAGGGGACTGAACAGAGGACAAGCCGCTCCACCACCTGAGCCACAGCTGCCCTTACCTTACTAATGCTTTTTTTTTTTTTCTCATACTTGTTTGTATTTACTCGGTTGCCATTTAATCGGTACACCTAACTAAAATGAACGCAGTCCAGTTCAACTGTTCTGCATGAAAGTCATTCCAAGTGAGCAACCAATAGACATCTGCCTCAAACTTGGCATAATCCTGCTGACTCACTGCTGAGCCATTCAGAATGAGCTGCTGCCTTGCAGGTTTATTTACTTCCTAGAGCTGCTTCCGCTAACTCTAACATGCCTCAGTCACGATCAGAGTGCTCAGCCAGTTCTGAAGACTCTTGTGTTCACTCTTGCATGCAACCAAGAGTGAACACAAGAAGACCAGAAGAAGAAGAAGATGTACCAGAAAATAGATGACTCTGATGTTGGAGGCGATGTCTCCTCAACAATAGGAACATTGTTAGTGTCAGCGCGCTGAGTGGCTAATGTTACTGTTTTCATTGATTGTACGCTCACAGTTCAGAGTTTTGTGGAAATAGGGAGAACATGGAGACTCCATGCAGAAAGCTACCTGGTGTCCTCACCGGGATGCGAACCGGCGACCTTCTAGCTGGCGATGGTGCACAAATGTCCTGCTGATATCAAACACACTAAATTAGTGAGAGTGATAAATTGTCATGGAAGGAAATTACTGAATATGTGGTACAGTTGCTTGACTTGTGTTTGACTGTAGTTTCCTCTGTAATGTGCACAGTACCCAAGTATGGAACCAGTTAGTGAATCTGGCCCAGAGCAGAAATAAACTGTTATTTAGGTTCAGTATGATGTAATGCCCAGTCCTATGGAAGTATCTCCAAACATGTAAGAATGAATGACTGCTAATGGCTTCCTCTGAAGCTGGTAAACAAAGAGCCCTGTGCAGTAAAGACACAGTCACTAGAGCTAAACAATTCATCACAATATCATCAAAACTGCAATCTGTTCAGGTGCAATATTCCAGTTGTTGGAGCTACAAGGTGCAATGTGTCACAACATACCGTAACATCTTGGCGTAAGGGAGCATCTTTGTTTAGTACAGAGCACAGCAAAAATCGCATCATCATTTTAATATTTGTTTCAGTGGAAAAGCACAGTTGCTAAAAATGACCATTCCCACTAAAATTAGGACTAGTATCCCAACTGCACTATCTATCTAAATAATGTCATCCTTTTCTTGGAGTATCGTTCAGCCCTCACAAACACTAGTGGACATTACAGTTTACTGGTGCACTGAATTTGTCCTTTACGTCCCAGTCAAAGGTCCCATATCTCCAGAATGATGCTTTCAATTTTCAGCTCAAAATGCCACTAAGATTTTTTATTTCACCACGACTGTGTGGAGTCTCCATGTTCTCCCCGTGCAGCGTGGGTTCTCTCCGGGTTCTCCGGCTTCCTCCCACAGTCCAGAAACATGCTGAGGTTAATTGGTGATTGTAAATTGTCCGTAGGTGTGAATGTGAGTGTGCTTGGTTGTCTGTCTCTAAGTGTAGCCCTGTGATAGACTGGTTACCTGTCCAGGTGAACCAGCCCCCCATGACCCTAGTGAGGATTAAGGTGTAGAGATGATGGGTGGATGGACGGACATGGATCTTTTCTTTCTCATTGCCTTCCCTCCCCTCACTGTCACAGGAAGTCCTTTGAGTACGAGGATGCAGCACGTCTGACGGCGCAGGAAGACCTGGTGGGAGGCGATGCCAGGCACTCGGGCCTTTACCACGCCTACTCCGATGACAACATTTACGAGGACATTGTCTGTAAGTTTAACTTTCTGTAATAGGATATTGTAGGGCTGAGTGCGAATGAACTTTGAGAAGTTTTGGTCAGTCTGGCTGTTAACTCAACACTAAAGTCAGAGAGACTGTTTGGCGCCTGTCATTGGCTGGATACACAGCTCCAGTACATAAAAATCTCAATTTAGAATTTACTTTATCGCTTTATCAGAGCCTATTAAAGAGGTTTGAGAGATATAGTTAGCCAATGGGGGCTTTTTTCATTTAGGAGCTTCCTGCAGATTTTACAGTTGCTGGAATTAAGTCTTTGAGAGTTATGTTGAAATTGGGAAAACCCTTTATAGGTAGTGAGATGGATGTTAACCTCTGAACCCCGAGCAGTTCCTGGGCCTTGTGTTGCAGTTTTACTCACTGTGGGCTCATTTTTCACTCCAATATAAAGTCCTGCAGCTCTTTAGAAACAGCCTAACTGTGGCTAGGAGGGAAGTGAATTCAGACATGTCTGCTGTGCATCCTCACGTGGTTATAACACCATACATCACAAAAAAAGAAGAAAAACAGTTGATGTTCTTGGATTATTTATTTTACAAAACAAAAATGAACCAGGAGCCAAATATCCAACATTTGTCCAAGTGCCCACAGGCATCACTAATACTGGAAGGAAAAAAAAAAGCCTCCAGATACTTCAGACATTTTTCTACTTACATTTTTAATCTACGAGAATTTTTCATTACAACTGTTGTTTGTTTGTTTGTTTGTTTGTTTGTTTGTTTGTAAGTCTACTGAGGGCCAATGATGACATTTTAAACCAGACACTTAGAATCATAAGTTTGATTTGTTAATTTTTCTAACAGCATGACAACACATGATGAGTCCATCAGCTTCTAAAATTGGAACGTTTTATCATTCAAGTTTCTTTTTTATTTAAGGGTCTCACAGATTGTGCATTTTGGCATTTTTCAGAGGGTTAAAATTGCACGGAGCTGTGTTGTTTGTGTACACGTGCATTTACCAGCACTCAGTTCTTTGAAGTACTTGGGTAGAAGGTGCTTGGAGGCACGCTGCAGTACTTTGATTCAGGCTGTCTGAGTTCTTTAAGTCTCTTCAGGTAAACATCCAGTCGTCCTGTCTAACCTCTCCCATCACTCGACCCTCCCCCAGTTGATGTGACCAGAGATAACCCCTACGAGGACATCAAGCTGTCGCCCATGTGTCTCCCGATTGCAAAGCCTCACCACCCAAAGGTAAAGCAGCATGTTCTGGTCTTGTTTCCCGCTCACCGTAGAGGAGTGTTTCTCATCAGCTCTGCAGGGTGTCACAAATGATATCTGTCTATCTTGAGAATGTAATGGAGGAAGAAGGAAGTATCGTAGTTTAATACCATGTGATTGTCTGAGTCCAGCGCTAACTCATTTTTTGTTTTTTCCAGTTGCCTCCTAAACCCCAAACGTTGCATGGCTACGCTAGCAGAGGGGAGAAGAAGGGCTTCCAACCAGTAACGCCTTCCAAGTCCTCCACCCTCGCAGATGCTCCCAAACCAGCTCCATGCCGACGCCCGAGCGCTCAAAAAACAAACCGGACGCCTCAGGTAAGCCATGGTATTCACAAACGAGTGAATCTGAGAATTATGGCAGACTGAGCATTTTGTGCTGTGTGGTGGACGGACGACTTTTGGTGAGTAGGAAGGAGACGAAGGGGGGCGGCGACTCGCTGAGCAGGAAGGACAGTGTTCTGACAGACATAGATAGGGCTGGAGCAACATGTATGTGCTTCTTACAAAGTCAGATGCTGCATAAACTGGAATTTCCAACCCATGGCAGCAGGAAGAGTGTGGACAGGGAGACACGGTGCTGACGAGGTAATAAAACAGACATTTATCTGTAAAAGTAACGACTAGAGAAGAGCTTCAAACCCGCGTGACTCTTGACGTGACGCGCCGTAAGAAGGTTTGACAAATGCCATTCAGGTTTATTTTTAGATTCCCAAGATGCCTTTGTTCAGTTATGTAACATAAAGTTAAATAGGAAGCAGTGTAAATACAAAACAAAAGGTAGTAAATTAGCTGATCTTAAACCCTCCTAACAACGTGTACCATCACGTTAAGGCCATTTTATTTGCCTTTTGTTTACTGTCACACAAGTTTGCTTCCTTGACTGGCAGTGCTCTTCTTTAAGTCCTGTGTGTGTGTTGGCATCTGTGTATTGATGCCTGAGTTGATTTAAGTCCTTATAGGCAGGTCTTGCCACTTGGCAGCCAGCTTGATAATCCCCCAGTAGGGCTGGGCAGCAGGAGCTGGTTCCAACTTTTTTCCGAAGTTTAAAGGATTTGGTGAAGTTTTATTTTAGTGAGTTTTTTTTTGGTTCCTAAACAGATTTCACTTCACTAGTTTCTCCAACAGTGTGCTGCATGTATGTATCTACACATGTGTGAGTCATGCGTGTCTTCTTCTCTCCTCGTGTATCTGCGTTGTTACTTTATTGTTCTCAGATGTTGCGGAGTTTCTTGGTTTGCAGGTGAACAACACAAACTATGTGATTGTCGCTCACAGTCACACTAATTTAACAAAGGCTGCTGCAAAAATGCTTTTACAGTGACACAAGTAAACATGAAAATATAAACCAGAAAACAAACCATGACTACAGTTCCAATAACTTTATCTGGCTGTGCGTTGTTCCTGTTAACTTCTATCAGTGATAAGTTTCATGCGGAATGCAGGAAGAAGCTGCAGTAACATGACATAAAGTCTTCATTTCTGTTCTGTGACAGTGAACACAACACAGAAACTTTCAGTAACCATTCTTCTTGTCAGGGCTCATTACAGCTGACTGAGGTGTCTGTACTGCCCGTAGACTGTTTAAAAGATGGAACCGGCCCTGAAAAATGAAGCCAACCCGGAAGTGTCAAAAACCTGCAGTATCACTACGTCCACTAGCTGCTGGCTCCAAAAAGCCCTGGCTCCCATAGATCACAGATCACCAAATACTGCATTCCTCCAGCTCAGGATTTTTTTCTTATTAGTTTTCATGGTCAAATCCAGAGATCAGGTGGCCAATCTGAAAATAAATCAATACTCAATTTTTAAAAATCGTCAGCATTTTGCGGGGCAAGGGGCGTGGCTGGCTTGATTGACAGTCGGCAGTGACTATGCAGACGAAGCGAGCAGAAGGAGGTAAATGTGGGCAGGGCAGAGAGGGCCCGCCTCTCAATCCGTCTGACCAATAGCTGCTCCTATGGCTCCGCCCCCCTCCGACGATGTTTGCGTCACTGGCTCCAAAGATGTCAACCAGGAAGTAGCAAAACCCTGGCTTCATGTTCTCAGTGCAGAAACCAACGGGTGACGTCATGGTAGCTACGTCCATCTTTTGTACAGTCTATGGTTCTGCCTGTATAACAAGGTGCTGCTACTGTTCTCCTCACTTCTAGTCTCCATCACCACTTTCCTCACAGGGAACATCTGAAAGAGAACGTCTGACCTCACGTGTTTGAAAGCAGAGTAAATATATTCCTTCATACACCTGAGCTGTGGTGGAGAAAGTCCTCAGATGCTTTTCTGAAATAAGTGAACTAACTGCATTGAAAATGTTGAAGTAAAAGCACGGAACTATGACCTGGAAAATGTGTAATGTTATTAAAGATAAATGTCTGTTCTGCTGGTTATTATTACCCATGAGTTCATGTACAAGCAGTAACTCAACCTACCTGCAAGTCAAAGATTCAGAACAGAGAATTTGTAAGAACAGGAATCAATAGACGGACTCGGAGTTAGAATCCGAATTATTAAAATACACAGTTATTTATTCTGTTTTCTCCGTCCACCTGAATGAGAAACAGCTGCAGTTGTAATGCTCACGAGGATAAAACCTGCATAGACTCACTATTCTGATCTAATAAAACAAAACTTTGGTGACTTTGCCTCAACATAAGTTTTAAAAAGCGTTTTTTCCAGCAGGTTATAATTCTATCAGGCATGTTTTATGATGACATGATTGACTGCACGTGTTGAAAATGATTTGCTGTTTGGGGACGGATCATACGACCTCCATCTTTGGCGTCACACCATAAGTTTCTCTTCAGGATTCCTTTGGTGGCGAGCGTCTCCTTCGTAACGTCTCTCCATAAAACATCCAGCTGTGTTGTTTTCAGGGTGTTTCCAGATGAACGCAGGAATGTGAGGCTAAAAGACAAAAATCTCTGATATAATTATGCACTTAGAGGTTGTTATGGCGATCATGCCTGTAATCACGAGTCATCACTGGTACCTGTGAATGTGTTCTGCTCCTCAGTATGTCAACAAGATCGAGACCATCTTCGACGACAAGCGAGGGAGGAAGAGAGTGAAGAACCAGGGAGCCACCATGCGAGGTGACATCACACACTCAGCATTTCAGTGTGATTAGCTTGAGCATCTTCTGATGGTACACATGAGGCCAGCTGTGGTAGAAACGCCACCGATTGTGACAAACAAAGGCTGATTGTCTGCATCTGATCGTGGCCTGTTCGGTCTTTTCCTCTCCTCTGCTCATCACTAATCTCTCCTCCTCACATTCGTATCAGCAGAAGAGACCAGCGGGACAGAGAGCGACCCAGAAGACAACACCAAAGGTATCGCCGCAGAGTTCGTTTGTCTGTGACGTCTCTTCATATGAATAGTCTGAACCTGAAAACCTGCCCATGGGTTTGAAAGACAGGTTGTCTTTGAGAAAAAAAAAAATAATTTATCAGAGTGAGAAACTGTAAACAGACGATTTGTCCGATGTTTGAACTATTCATGTGATCAAAGTTAAAATCATGATGTTTCATTAAAATGTATTTATCCTTCATCTCTCATCTCAAAAAAGCCCCAAAAACTGAAAAAATAAAGCATCGTCCTGGGTCAGATTTACAGGTACACATTGTTATATGGAGTAAGACACCCTGGTAATATCTGTAAGGATTAGTGGTTGACATGCCCAAAGATAGACAGTGCTGTGGCACAAAGAAGAAGATCATGGCATCCTGGAAAAATTTGTTGGTTCCAAGGAAGTCGTCGCTCCAGTAACAGCCATGTTGTCTTTAAACCTGTACACTGTGTATGATGTTGGTATCAGTCTTAGTTCTACAATCGGTTGACTAAAAAGCAAGCAGGTCATTTATGAATTAGAAACACCACAGACTTGCTGGTTTTATCTTCTCACACTTGCTGGTTCTACTGCTTCACTTATTTTTGGTGATTAATCAGGTGCTTTGTCCACAACGTGTCACAGAAGAGTGAAACGTTCACCAAACCGCAGAATGACGTGTTCAGACTTCAGTTTATACTCAAATATGACAAAGAAAAACATCAAATTATTTTATTTCCGAACCTGTAACCTGGAAATGTTTGGACTCAAAAATTCCTCCAACGATTAATCAGTTATCAGAATAGTTGTGATCTTCTTCAGTTGATCAGCTGATCGTTGCACCTCTGATGAAACCAGTTCTACATCATGTTGTATTTAAACGGCTGCATATTGCGTCTCTGTGCTGATATATTGTCCCTGGAACGGCATCACCACGTTGTTTCTCTGTGTGGCGTCCAGCAGAATCCAGGAGATCCGTTTACATCCAGTCTACACTGAAGCGTCGGCCAGGCTACCGCACCCTGGAGAGGGACTTGATCCAGCTGCAGCAGCAGCAGCTCTTCCAGATCTTTGTGGTGGTGTCGCTGAGAAAAGACTCCAGAGGAAACACCTACTCGCCTGAAATTACTCAGCAGTTCCCCAAAATGGTGAGAGGCAGCTTTTACAGTAACACCACGGTCATTCTTCTAGGCAGCTGTGGTTTGATCATATCGCTTTAATTAAAAGACATCTGTAGCTGGTTAGCGTCCAGATTTTACTCGTGTTTGGCAAAATGACGGCGAGTTAATCTGACATGACGAGGAAACTGGTCAGTCAGGATTTCCTTCAGGGGAATTCCCCCAGTTGGCAGAAGTCAAGAGCTTTTGCAGCAGAAAGATGAATTTTTGTTCATATATTCTGTCATATCTCACTTTGGCAATCTTTTTTTGAGTTCTGTATGAAAAGATAATTGATTTAGAACAAGTGCATTTGAGAAAACACGACAGACTTCACAGTTCACTCATAGTTGTCTGTGCATATTTAAATAATCTCTGATATTAGGATGCTGTTAAACGTCGAGCGCTTTCACGTGGAGCATCCAGGAAGTCTTGAGACCTGCTGCCGTATTAAATCAGAGTCTCTCTGTTTCAGTTTGAGAAATCGTCCCGGCTCTCTAAAGAAGCTGAGGATCAGCTGAAGGTCATTCCCAAGTTCTGCTTTCCTGATTCTCAGGACTGGAAACCCTCTGCACACACGCCAAGGTCAGCCAATACGCTGCAGCACTGCTACGTCATGACTGAGCATTGTCTCTTCATCTTCATCTGTCTCTTTTTTTTCCTTCCTGTCATTACACACTCCTTTTCTGTCTTTTAATAAATGCTGTCAAAGTGTCTCGTGAATGTATTTTTTCCTCTTTTACTATTTATAGCCTCAGCTGTAGCCCATAAATTGCTGCAACAACAAGATTCCTCACAGGGATAATTAAAGCTCCATCTGATCTCATTAAATCTCTGAGTGCTGGGGGGAATTGGGCTTTCCTCTCTTTTCTACTGGGCACGGTCCATTGTTAAAAATGTACTTTGCAGTCTGGGCCTGCGTTGTCTTCCCGCCTTTAAAACACTCACGTTTATCTGTGGCAGTGCAAACAGCCAGAAGAGATAACTGTTCATTTACCTTCTGTGCACTCGGCCTGAACACTGATTAATGATATTCTTAATACTGATGGATGTTTGACAGGTTTGGTTCCACGTTTTAGGCTGTCGCATTCACAGCATCTTCTGTGTTTTGATGTATTTGCAGCGAGACCTTTTCATTTGTCCTGACCGGAGAAGATGGCAGCCGCTGGTTTTGTTACTGCCGCAAGATCCTGGTGAGCATGGATGTGTTAACATTTACATCTGAGTCACTGACTAGAGTGTTCATGTGTTTATGTGTGTGTGGCAGCTGGCCATGTGCTTACTCAACATCCCTGAGATGTGAATCACAGACCATAAACCACTTCTGAATCAATAGCAGAGAGCAAAGAGAATGTCATCTTTCCCCCCCTCTGTTTTACCCCACAAGGCTTTCAGATCGTTTGAAGACACTTCTTTAGGTTGAAAGCGGGACAAACTGTGTTGGTTTTCATTTCAGTAGCGCGGCTGCTGTGTGAAGCACTCGGTTTATGAAGTCGACAGATTCAGAACACGTCTGACGTGAACGGTTTCTGCTCATTGAAACTGGGAGAGCTTTTTTTTTTCATACAGTTTTATGGATTTACAGACTAAAAAGACGATGGGGTTGTGCAATATTGGGAAAAAAATGATATTGTGATATGAGAAAATACAGGAATCTTCAGCCGATGTTTTGAGAGTGCATCTGTGGTGAAAATAGGATATAATGTTAATGAACGCTTTGGAGCTTTTCTCATATGGTGTAACTCTGCTTTGGATCGCATTCAGATCTGACTTTGTACATGTCAGAGCTTTAGCTGCTGACCTGACTGATTGTTTTTATAGTTTAGAAGAAGCTCGGCTAAATCTAACCACCAGAGTTTGTTTTGTAGGACATGAGCTTCATGCTGCTGTCATAAACGGGGATGCAGGTCAGACTGTGGACCCCAGTAGAGCCTTTCTACCTTACTGGTGTCCAAAGCACTTTACAATGTGTTTCTCATTCACCCATTCATACACCAAAGAGCTGCCATGTGAGGTGCTGCCTGCCATTGGGAGCAACTTTGGGTTCAGTGTCTTGCCCAAGGAGGGCCGGTGGACAAACCACCAGCCTTGCGATCAGTCGCTCCATCACCATTCTGGCGAACACTTGAACCACCCTGAGCAGCTGTAGCTCAGGTGGTAGCTCAATAGCTTCTTGACATTCCAGCCCAAACTTTTCTTTGTTTAATGCATTTTATTATGTTTTGTTGTTTCCTGTTTTTTGACATATGAAACCATGTGTGTGTTAAAGCCCAGCGGAAAAGGGAAGAGACTTCCAGAGGTGCACTGTATTGTCAGCAAGCTGGGCTGCTTCAACCTGTTTGCAAAGGTAAAACCGCCGTGCAGTTCACTCCACTCACTCGTGTTTGCAGACAGAAGCCTTTATAGGAAGATGTAAGGAGCTGAATTAACTAAAGTTCAGTACTAATCCTCTTGCTGTTGCCTTGAAGCTGCATGTGTGAGGATGAATGAGGCTGCACTAGACAGTCATCTTTAGCCATCTTTGGGTGTGTTTTTCATAAAGAAATGTTATGCATGGGGCTGTGTCTGACTGAGTCTTCAGTCGGCCAAACAGTGTGAATACAGTGTGGTCTGACCCTGTTTTATTGTCAGGACTCGGGTCAACACCGGCTCCTTCGGGGCTCACGGTTGTTTTTCTGGCTCTGTCTACCCAGATTCTGGAGGAGGTGGAGCGGCGCAGAGAAATTTCCCCGGCGCTGGTTTACCCTTTTATGCGTAGCGTGATGGAGGCCCCGTTTCCAGCCCCCGGACGCACAGTCACCATCAAGAGCTTCTCCCCCGGCTCTGGGAATGAGGTAACCCTGAAACCAAAAGAGGAAATGCTAATTAGTAGCTAGTTCCTCCTCACCACTCCCTTCTGCAGACTCAGAGTGACTCAGACTCGGAGGTTATCTGTGGAAACAATAGAGCCGGCCGTCGCAGCTCTGATGGGTTCATGTTGGGACAGTTTAGTCATTACGCTTCATCAGCTCAAAATAAGCAAAGTAGTAAAATCTGAGGAAATGCTGCAAAATCACCGACTTGTTCTGAGTGAAGAGTTGGAGGCTCTTAAGACGTTAACTGAAAGTCCCACACCTCTGCTCCACCGTCCTTAAAAACATCAACCCTCTGAGCACTGCGCAGCTTCCGGGTGTCACATTATTACTCACCGCGGGTCTAATTAATCAAGTAGTGCAGCTTTATGGGAGCATTACAACCAGGGATGGATGAGGAAAAAAACCCAGACATGTCTTGTGTGCAGTGCAAAACAGTAACGCCATAAATCATTAAAAACAAAAACAACACGAGGTCAGTTTCTTTGGTTCCTCTACAAAAACTGAAAACAACATTTCTCCAAGTGCCACAGATGTTTGCAGTACTGGTGAACAGGCTGACTATAACTCTGATAGCTGTTTTACTGCTTACATTTTAAATCAGTAAACACAGGCTGCAGTTTAGTCCAATTAAAAGTTCCTGAACTTTTGTGATTGTCTGCAAATGGTTTTATGGTTGCACATAGGAATGCAGGTTTGTAGAAAAAAGTGATTTTGACTAAATATTTTAGGAGATTTTGGGGCTCAGAGGGTAAACACGACTGTATCTAGAGTGCACGTTCAGACGGGCTTCATGTGCTGCTGTTGCTTCGCCAGGTCCTGACGTTGTGCCGACCGGTGGACTCCAGACTGGAGCACGTGGACTTTGACAGCCTGCTGCAGTGTCTCAGTGTTGGTAAACTCCTGCAGGTCTTTGCCTCCCTTCTGCTCGAGAGGAGGGTCATCTTCATCGCAGACAAACTCAGGTACTGACCGTGGCAACGCCCAGTCCACTGCATGACACAGCAACAGACCACATAGCAGCATAAAAACTTGAAATTTCCCTTGATGTATGCCAGTTAGGTGTAATGCCTTATAATATGACAAACCTAGAGCCATCTATCTGTGTGCACGTTGGCCTCAGTTCACTAAAATCTAACCTGCGGCGGGTCCCGGGGCTGTTACAGGTCCTGACGCTGCTCAAGCTGAATATTCTTACACAGGTTTGACAGCATTTGTAGAGACATGATACCAAACACATTTTAAAATGAAATTATAATGAAATAAAAATGAACATTAAGAATTATAAGTGTCTTGAATCGGGTCAGTATATCGACTTGTGGTTTCATGTCATCTTGAGAAATGACACAACAGACTGCTGAGCTTCCATCAGGAGGAGTTAAAAGCATGACAAGGCAGTTTCTGTGCTCCAGAGTGGTACCAGACAGACTCTGAAAGGTGACTGGAAACACAATGAAAACAGTCCACTGGATATTAAAGGTTTAAGGATTTTGTAGAGACGACATAGACGGTAATCATAAGTTATAGATGGAACAGGTGTGTTAAAAACGTCAGACTTGGGGCGCCGCTGTAGCTCACCTGGTTGAGCTTGTGTCCTGTGTAGAGGGGCAGTGGTCATGGGTTCAAGTCCCGCTTGTGACCCTTAGCTGCAGGTCCTTCCCCCCTCACTTTGCTGTGTCTCTCTCTTTCCTATCTAAAAAGGCCTAAAAATATCTTTAAAAAAAAAAACGTCTGACTTAAAGTGTGCTTTTTACTGAAGTGTACGACACTCACAGCTGACACAAAGGAAACTTCTTGTTTTACCAAAGATGAGAAATTCACAAATAGTGAAACTTGTACCAAGAGCATGAGCTACACTTTATGTTAACTCTGTGATACTGCTGTTCCTTTATCTTTTTTTTATAGGGCGCTACAGTTGTGTGTTTTGTGTCATACGATCTGTGTGAGAACTGAACCGTGTTTTGTTTGTGTCTCCTGAATGCAGCGTGCTGTCTCGGTGTGGCCTTGCAGTGCTGGCGTTGCTGTACCCCTTCACTTGGCAGCACACGTTTGTTCCCGTGCTACCAGCCAGCATGCTGGACATCAGCTGTTCGCCCACCCCGTTCCTCATCGGGGTGCTGGCCCCGTACCTGCCAGAGCTGCTGGAGCTGCCCATCGAGGAGGTTTGTCAGAACAGTTCACAACTCTGTCTCAGTGTCGTGGTTTGATGTTGTATCCATTGTACACATATAACGGCTCAGACTGTCTGACTCACTTCAACTTTAAAGCTCCTGTTGCGAAACAGTGACTCTTTCAGTCGGTAACTGTCATTCTGTCTTCTCTCCAGGTGCTCATAGTGGATCTGTGTGCAGACAAGTTTGTCATTCAGGTGTGTACACAGAGTGTATAGGTGTGGCTTCAGCAGGAAGGATAGCTTTGCCTGCACTTGTCCCTTGTTGCCTGTTTTGAAGGGGACAAAGGAAATGATACCACACACACACACACACACACACACGAGCGCTCCAGAGATGAAAGTATGCAGGGTGTAAGCCTGGAGAAAAAAACCCTGTCATGACACAAACATGAAGGTTGATTCAGAGCTGCAGCTTTGTCAGTTGACAGTAATTACTTAGTGTATTCAGGGAATGATAAATGATTGTGTGTCTTGTGTATTGTGTGTCTTGTGACGTGCAACCTGTCCAGGTGTCCCCTGCCTTCACCTTAAGACAGCCGGGATAGGCTCCTTCGTCTATACAGCGGCGTATAGATAATAGACAGATTTTGATTTGTTTTATTCTTGATGTTTTATTTTCATTTACCTTTTTTTTTGTTAGCTACACACTTGTTTATGTCTGTTATGCATCATTGTAGTGACACTGGCAGCCTCCTCACCTCAGCATGAACGTCACGATGTGAACGTTTGAAGGGCTGAAGACTCTTCTATGCACAGTGTAGTCTGGAGGAATGGAGTTTAGACACATATAGGCAGCCTTAACAGCATTATGTTGTTTTTTGTACACCAGGTTAGACGCCCATCTTTGTGCATCAAAGCACTAAAAGTAATCTGTTGAGTAAATTCATCAGAGGAGAGTGATATGATCCATACTGTTAGTCAGCCAGGAGCACATGCATCCAGGTGTTCAACCGCTGATACCACTGAGACCAGAAAGGCTAATTATGCTGCAGGTGACACCGTGCATAGGACAGGTTAGATGTTTGTAAGTGGCATCGTGTGACTGCTGCTCACCTGTCCTGTCCTGTTTGGCAGATGGGTGATGAAGACTGCATTCTGCCCAGTAAACTGCAGGCAGCTCTGCAGCAGATCCTGGAGGAGAGGGAAGAGATCCTGCGACAAGACAACGGAGACACATGTGGAGGTCGGTATAAGAAACGCTATCAACAAACCAGATGCTGTTTGTCAGTCAGGTGATCAGATAGTCGCACAAGACCTGTTTGTAAGCACAGAACTGTATCATAATAGATCTATATATTAGACAGTTGAGATTCATCTGCTTTGGAGAACTTCTAGTAACCTTTTTTTCCCTCATCCTAATGTGTCCCATCCAGGCCAGCAGGCTGACCTGAGCTCCCTGGTATCTGAGGGCTTTGTGCGTTTCTTCGTGGAGCTGGTCGGCCACTATCCTCTTCACATGGCCGAGTCCTCCAACGGGAGCAAAGAGCTTCAGCGTGACAGCTTCCGCAAATCTCACCCGTCCCGTGGAGTCCGCCAGTTCCTGCAGCTCTTCATGGACACCCAGATGTTTGCTGGATTCATTCAGGACAAAGAGCTGCGCAAGGGAGGAGGAAGAGGTAACTATTAAGCATTCGGCCACCGTCCCTGTTGAAGCGCTCTCCTTGTGCTGGACTCAGAGCTCCCAGCGCTTCTTCAACACTTGTCTGGTTATGTAACCAGGTCAGGCACCGTCTGTGATGAGAGCTGAGTCTTGTGTTGAAATGGTGACAACTTGGGTTTCAATATGAGGAAGCTGCAGAGAGCCAAGTCCAGCGAGCAGAGCAGCTGACTGACAGTTGTGTTGTCTCCGCTGTGTGAGTGTGGCTGGGCGCCCAGTGGAGCACAGACATGTCCTGACACCACAGCAGAGGTTGTTGTCCTGAATGTTCTCCCTCAGGACCTTTTAGTAGAACTCTGCCTTGACAGTCTGAACCTGGTGGATTCATTCCCGATGCAGAACCACATGAGTGTTGGAGAACACACTGAGCATGCTCCTATTGCTCCCCATCCGATGCACCTTAAGACAGTTTTGGAAATGACAGCTCTACGGTAAACCTGCTGTTTCTCCTCCTGGGGGAAGCTGCAGACCCACCTCTCATCACCGGGGATGAAGGTCTGATCGTACTGGCTGCCGACTGACACACATTATGATGTTTTCTTCTCTGCTCTGTGGAGAAACCTCTGATGCAGACTTACCAGTGGTCACAGAAATGTGTTGCTGCTGCTGTTGACAGCGCAGCGTCATGTGACGCCCTGACTCATGACAGTTAGTTGTCCCACATGCTGCACACACATGACCATGCACACACACTGACAACAGTCTTAAACAACCCTCATAGATGGTGCACTCGGGACTTTGGCAGAGCGAGACCCTGGTGCAGCTCAGTGTACAGTCGGTGTTATTAGAGTGAAGTGACTTTTCATATCGGAGCCCACGGCATGGTGAAAGCATTCTTTGATTAATCTGTTAAAGGTTCTGTATGGTGAACACAGACTTTTGCTGTGTTTTGTGGGTGTTACAAAGTTGGAGGTGCAAAATAACAGCTGTGAAGATACTGCTGACATTCCTCAAGGCCCCCTGCAGCGAGTTAACCTCACAGCTTTGCAAGCTAGTAAGCATTCAACCCAGCTGCTACCTAACCCGTAACTAACCAACAGTCATCCAGCACAGGCACTGAACAGGGCAGGAAAAGCAGTGGTTCATTTGAGAGCAAACCAGCCTGTCTAGAACAGCTGTACCAGAAACCAGAGTCATGGTGTAATGAACCATCTTTGCAGTATTTTCAGCTGAAACATTCACACTGTGGGAACATGTGAGACTTGATTAATGTGCTGAAAGCGGGCATAATATGGGACCTTTAGCGTTAGTCGCTGATACCTCAGGATTAGACTTCATTGATGGTCACCACAAAGCTGTGCCAACAAATAACAGAATACAAAAACTCAAATACCAGAAACTAGGATCTTACCTGACTACATATGTAGCCAGTATTCCATCCATCCATCCATCATTTCTACACCTTAATCCTCACCAGGGTCATGGGGGGCTGGAGTCTATCCCAGCTGACTCAGGGTGAAGACAGGTTCACCTGGACAGGTAACCAGTCTATCACAGGGCTACACTTAGAGACAGACAACCAAGCACACTCACATTCACACCTACGGACAATTTACAATCACCAATTAACCTCAGCATGTTTCTGGACTGTGGGATGAAGCCGGAGAACCCGGAGAGAACCCACGCTGCACGGGGAGAACATGGAGACTCCACACAGAAAGATCCCGGGTGTCCTCACCGGGACGCGAACTGGCGACCTTCTAGCTGCGAGGTGACGGTGCTAATCCTTGCACCTAAGTGGATGTGACATAAAAACTGAAGGCAGATGTTTCTACATAATCTGTGTGTTTAATATCAAACTGAACCTATGAAACCAAGTCACATGGCAGGAAGCGAAAGACAAAAAACGTGGTTAAGAGCATTTTTGCTATTTACAAACACCAGGACATTAAACTGTTTAGAATAAAAATCTAAACCTTTGTCATGATGAGTTCTGCTTCACATACATGTTTGTCAGTGACTCAACAGCTCCGTGTGTTCTCAGGTCTCTTTGAAGCCAGAGTGGCAGAGCACCTGGATTCATGCCCCGACCCTGAGCTCAGTGGTGTGAACCGGTTTCTCAAAGGACTGGGTGAGTGTCTCCCCGTCACACATTCACGCTAAGAGATTACTTCTTAGCGCCTAATCGTTGTCTTCTATTTGTTTCAGGAAATAAGATGAAGCTCTTACAAATGAAATGAAGAAAGACCAACACATCTGATTGTGAATGACTTTTATAAGTAAAACCAGAACACTTGCTGCTGCTGGACTGGATGAGACAAGTGAACGGGGACGAGAGAGAGTCTTGTGCAGAGGACCAGTCTGATCTCAGAGCCACGCATGCATGTATGTGTGAGAGCAATCCTCATCGGGTGAAAACTGGAAGCACATTTTTTTAATTTTCTATTTCCAGCCTTTGTGAAACTACAAAAACATTCCAGCTCGTTAAGACCTGAACATGTGGGTGGATGGACGGTGAATGTGAATGAAAACTTGTTTACCTGCAGCCTGTCTTACATTTAAACCAGGAAGTGTAACCTGTGAGTACTTTACAGTTGAACATGCTGTGTCCGTGTTTTTATGTTGTTAAATCCCATTATCATTCCTTTTAGCACAAACTAAAGTCGTTGTAATGGCTGTGTTCCTGTATGCGTTGTAGATATAGCTGTTCTGATCAGAACATTTCAAAGGTTCAATCCAAACTGTCTCTTTTGTAGAAACTTCACTTTTCTGACTTTATTCTTGATTTAATCCCTGTTAACTGGAGTTGTGTGTTGTTTTTTTTCTACATTTTGCACATGTTCAGAACCAGTGTACAGTATTTGGAATATTTTTGTATTAAAGCATGACATGTCCTAATTACTTTTTAATTAATGAGTTTCCAAGGACATTATTTATTGTGTGTCTGTGTCATTGCCTCAGAAACTGGCCTGGACGTGACTGAACACTGCTATCGTTAATGACACAGTGAGGATGATCTGCTCTGACGTGAGCATCGGTGGTGTTGGAGAGGAGCTCATGTGTGTGTCAGTCTTCCAGAGAAATGGTGTATTAAATGTTTTCAGACACACCCTGAGAGGGCAGGAGGAGGCATTCTGATAGAACTGGTTTCTTAGAGGAGGGATTTTATTTTTCTTACGCAGGCCTCTGAAGGAGAAGCTGCTCTCTGGTCGTCTACAACTCCCTCCTCTGCTGCTACCTGGTGTCCTGTCTCCATAAAACTAAAAACTTGAGTTTGCACTCTGTTAGAAATAGCATGGCTGTCGTTATGCCAGCTTAGCATAGCGTTAGCTAACAGCTTAAAGCCAGTAAGGAACTACAGAAATAAATATACAAACTATTAGAGAGTACAGCTTTTAGTTAATATCAACCTTAACTTGAATGCTAAAGCTATGTTCTGATTGTCCATGAATCTAACAGTGTAGATAAATGAATGCTGGACTTTAACATCACTTGGAAGTCACCACATGCTGGAAATGAGCAGCTTGGAGGAGGTCTGATCTCTCAGAGGACGTTTCTAGTTCTCAGCCGTTCTTCACTAATTTATTTTAGTTTATGATATTTTGTGTTGGATCTTGTTTACTTACAGTATCTGTTTTTATTGTGAAGCACTTTGTACCTTTGTTTCTACAGGTGCTATAAAGTTTTTATTATTACCACTGAAATCCTCAACGTGGCCCTGCAGAAATACAGCCGTCTGATTGGTGGAGCTCAGACACAGGTGTGGGCTCAGCCTAAGAAGTCATTTTCAGGTCAATAAAACCCTCCCAGTGTCCTCCTGAGGCTCTGTGTCGTGCCATAGAAGAGTGCTCAGTAAAGCCTGTCACCAACAGGACCACATGGGGGCGCTGTCTCCCCGTGCTTCTGCTCAGGCTCCAGTATCAGGGGGTCCAACGGAGCACATGTGGCAGCATCAGGAGTATCACATGTCATATGTTTGGCTTTAACTCATCACGTTAAGATGATGAATGTTTGCCATGTTTTGGAGAAGAAGTCAGTCAATATAAAAATTAAACTGATCGCTAATATTAACCATTTATTTAACCTTGTATTTCATAGATTAAGGTTTTTAACTCTGCTAAAATCCAATTACACTTTTACATTTTACAGTTTGAACAGTTATTCTGAACACTGTCACGTATTAATGTTCTTATTTATGGAAAATAAGTATTTAGACTTCAGTGTAAATCCCGTCTCCTGCTGCCTGTTTTCCTCGTCTCTGTTCATTTTGTTCCACCGACCCACAGAGACACATATTCTACTTTTTACTCCACTACTCTTGTCTGACAGCTTCAGCTGCTCTCCAGTTTACAACTCTACAAATCAATATACGTCCACGTTTGATGATTAAACATAGAAATTAAATGTTAATGTAGCTGTAATAAACTGAAGGATTAGAGAATAGAATACTTTTATTGATCCTCCATTGGGGGGAATTTACACGCCGCAGCAGCATCCAAAAATATAGAAAGAGAAGAACAAGAAAATAACATTTAAGTGGATCTTTTATGATCTCAGGCGATTTTCCTATTTGTTTAGATGTATTAACTTTAAAAACTCTGCTTTGGATCGGCTAGAAAACGCATCATCGCAAAGCTGCTGCTGACTGCTTGCTCAGAGGAAGTCCAAAGACTTCTCTGGATTGTTGGTTCTCCGTTTAAATTCTAAGGTTTTCACCTGACTATGTTAACCGCTGTGAGATGACATATGTTGTGAACTATACAAACAAAACTGAATTGAATGAACTGAGGCAGATTTTATGTACATATGCAGCAGTTACATTGATCCCAAAACATAACATATAATTGAATAATAAAACACTGACAAGGACTATTTTGCTGACTTTCATTTTTTATTCTTGAGCTACATTTGCTTTAAATGCTCACAAACTTTACTCAAGTCAGACTTTTGCTGTCGTGGAATATCTTGTGATATCAGTACTTTCACTAAAGCAGAAGTCGCTCTATAATAATATGTTCTAAACGTGTCTGGTTCAGGTTAAAGGGCACGTCTGGGGAAACTAGTCCCCCCCTACACACTATCTACACCTGTTAAAAACTGTTCACATGAACGGTACGCTGAAAATTCTTTAAAAACAGATTTACATATTCAGTTAAACCAGTGGGGTTGGGGCTGAATCTTACAGGCATCCTGCAAAGTTTATTTGTTTTTCATGGAATTTGTGACCAATAAAAGAAATGGAAAATATTGCCAGATTGTGAATGTCTCACAGGTCCAATGCAGATTCACACATATTATCTGTTCTGCTTAGAGAGCCGGTTTCCTCTCACCTCCTCCGTGAATGACTGCATTCAGTTACACAGGTTTGATGATGTACTTGCAGCAAAACAAGGCCAATAAATTAAACGGTAAGTCTGTGAATTTGTTTTCCCACAGTTTTCACCAAATTAGGAAAATAAAAAGTCTGGGATACAATTTCATGTTTGATTTGAGATGTAATGTTCTGAAGTACAGCAGCAGCATTATAATAAGTAGTTTTTCATATTCTCATGCAGTATTGTGCCTCAGAGCACATTTTAGCGCTCACAGAATGTGCAGCTCACATTTTCTGCTGCAGAAACGGACAGACGTGCTGTGAATGTGCTGGTCACTCGGCTACCAGGACCGACTGCAACGGTCCAACACTTTAGTTCACCTCGACAAGAACCGAAGCTGGAGCTGCTCTTTTTCATAGAAATTCAGAAATGTGTTTGTTGACTCACAGAACTGCAGACAAGAAGTGTTAGTTTATGAACTCGAGCGGTGAGACCAGCATTAAAGAGATCTACTGCCGAGCATAGCGATGCTGCTCGCTTTACTGCTTCTGCTGCAATGCTGCCGTCCCTGGTGTTGATATTACGGCTTCACGTCTCTGACATGTTTATTCACTGTGATGGAAAAGAAAGTACAATTATGTAACGCTGTCCAATAATTCATCTGTGTGCCCTCAGATTGGCCTCGTGACCTTTGAAAGGAACCCGACCCTGAGTTTGAGAACCTGTTTGAGCCGTATTATACCTACAATAACAGTCAGTGGAGTAATGAGCACGTTTACTTGTTCTAATATTGGTGCTTTAGCTAATAATACTTGTTTAAAAGCACTTAAACGTGCTCTTGACGTGCTTCAGTAGGACTTTTGCATGCAGCGCCTTTACTTGCAGAATCTTTCTTATTGTATTTTGTTGACACTTTTTTTTCTTTACAAACTAAAACACTTCTGTTGCAGAGCCTGCTCTCGTGCACCATCACGCCTCAGAGACTCGGGGCTCCTTGCTGCTCCTGGAATGAACAGCTGTTGAGGCAGAAACTGGCAGAACTCCTCCTGAACTCCCCCCTGATTCTGACAATTTAACAAACTGTTTAACTTTGACAAGTTGTAGCTCGTTCATTTTCGTAGAAATCCAGAAATTCACATTGTTCACAGGAAGAGAATCGGCTGTGAACTGCTTAAACCGCAATGCCAGTTCTGGTGTTGAAGAGGTGTCCTGCTGCTAAGAGTCCTAAGCAATGAGGTCCACTTCTGTTATAAAGCTGCTGCCCCTGATGCTGATGTTACAGCTATGTCTATGGTGCACCATCTGTGCTGCTTATTTCTGGCACAATGGTGATTATTGCTTCACAAAGGCTGAGCTGTTCAGAATACAGCGTATACATGGCATATACAGTCGTCCTCAGATGTATTCACACCCGTCCATTAAAGAAAAAAATCACAATAGTCGCTCAAATAACCAGAAACTGAAAAAAGTAATAATAAATAAAAAATTGCTGAATTACAATTTAGTAAAATGAGACATTGCTTTTGAATTGTGGTTGAAAAGAATAATTAAAAAAAAGAAAAAAAGAAAAAGAAAACTGTCCAGAATACCTGCCAACAGGTGCAGAAGTCTGATTGAGAGCTGGAGCTTGTGTTGACCTTCCATAAGTTCTGCTGCCATGTAGGACTGACCTGACTTATCCCAGATTGCATTTCCCAAAGGCTGCACGTTATGGCCGTTTGTATGCATCATGTCTTTCTTCTGCCTCGGCAGCATCTGTTGTGGCGACTACGTTTAACAGGTGGCATGCACACCTTTGATGTGGAGGAAGCTGGTACTCCAGACCACTACCTACCCCAGGATGGTGAATGTGTCCAGGAAGTTGGCTTTAGGCTTCAGAAGAGTCCAGGATGTTACACACTGGGTCAACTAGCAGCAAATCCAGAGCCTGTTGACCCCACAGACAGTATAGACCATGCTTTGGCCTACAGGGGAGGCATCTGTGAAGACCAGCTGGCAGTGGACCACAGGTCCTAGAGCAGAGGAAACCCCACAAGAACCACCACCATGGTCTAGAGCAGGGGTGTCGAACTCCGATCAGCTCATCATCAAGCTCTGCAGAAGCCTGATAATGATCCTGATCATTTGAATCAGGTGTGTTGGAAACATCTAAAACATGCAGGATAGGGGCTCTCGAGGACCAGGATTGGACACCCCTGGTCTAGAGCAATAGGCTGGTATTGGGAATCATAGCTGCAGTAGCTGGAGAGTGTCCTGGTCAGGTTCTGGGGATTGTCAGGCAGAAGAAGGATGCCTTGAGGACCCCTGAGCCTTAGCAGCTGGTCTACCTCCTCCAACAGGTTGGTGGTTAAATGATTAATATCTAATCTAACTTAAAGCAGGTAAACTCACACCGTCAGTGATACATGCAGAGGTTGTGACACACATGAACACACCTGCAGCTGCACCTCATATGATGGTACAGTGATGGAGCTGG